AGCTGCAACCTCGCCCACCCCCCAGCATGTTGTCCAGACATCTCTCCCTTGGTGCTGGGTGAGTGGGTCTTGAGATATGTGGTGCTGTAAACATCTGGACCAGGGCCTTTCTGCTGGCCGTTTGTATTACCCAGTGTGTGCCGCTTTAGAACCTTCCAAAGAGCCTGCCCATTTGTGACCACCAGGGCCATTACATGCTGACGTGGGGTGCCCTGGAGGGCTGCTCCCTGTGCATCAGGAGAAGGAGGGAAAGGGACAGGATCCGGTGCTTAGTCTTGACCCTAGAGGCCCCGGACGTGTCCCAGGGTCGGGGAGAGAAGCTGGACGTGACACTCATGCCATTGGAAGTCTGCTGCAGCGGGCTGGTCCAAGTGGCTCCTGCCCTCCTGGCACAGGGGCACAGCAGCGGGCTGGTCCAAGTGGCTCCTGCCCTCCTGGCACAGGGTCACAGCCTGGAGCCCCTGCTCCTGTGCGCACTGCTAGGTCATGACCTGCCTTTCCTCGCTGACCTGACAGGTGTGGACACTGCAAGCAGTTTGCTCCAGAATATGAAAAAATTGCCGAGACGCTACAGGGTGATGATCCCCCTGTCCCCGTGGCCAAGATCGATGCAACTGCCGCGTCCACGCTGGCCGGCAGATTTGACGTGAGTGGCTACCCCACCATCAAGATTCTCAAGAAGGGGCAGGCTGTTGACTACGAGGGCTCCAGGACCCAGGAAGGTGAGCCGCACGGAGAGAGGTGGCAGGTGATGGAGCCCACCAGGCTCCCCAGCGGCGGGGCCAGGGTGCAAGTCGAGACTCAAGGCTGCCTTACAGCCTTGAGGCCGAACCTGTCTCAGAGGGAAACCTGTTCCTGTTGTAAGCCTTTCCGCTGATTGGGCGAGGCCACCCACCAATGCTGAAATGGGCTTTTCTCAAAGGCGGCACCCAAACCCATGCCTGAGCAGACAGCTGGGTGACAGTGACCAGGCCAAGTGGGTATGGTTTCCACGGAGATGAGAAGCAAAGCCGCCAGAGAAGTGTCTCTGGGCTTGGGGGCCTCAAGGCCTCAGGTGGGAGGGCCTTTCTGCAGGAGATGTGCACAAACGTGATGGGGCAGCTGGAAGGCCCTCCTGGGTCCTCAGAGCCGAGGACCTGGGCCCATGTGGGGCTGGCCTGCCTCGCTCCCAGCATGCCTCAGTATGTGATCTCACTGGTCCGTTTCTCCCAGAAATCGTTGCCAAGGTTAGAGAGGTCGCCCAGCCCACCTGGACGCCCCCACCCGAGGCCACGTTGGTCCTGACATCCGAGAACTTTGACGCAGTTGTGGGCGAGGCCGACATCATGCTGGTGGAGTTCTATGCCCCATGGTAAGGGGGCAGGGGACCCACTGTGGACTTCTGGACCTGGGCTCTGATGAGCCCCAACCCACCTCATTACAGGCAACTCCTACAAGCCCCATGTGCTTGCTCTGCCTGCAGGCTGGCCTGATGGCAGGGAGGGTCCCCTTGAGGCAGAAGCGGTTTCTCCTCTGCTCGAATGTCTGAGCTGGGCCAGGAGCACCCTGATTCTGATTGTCTGTGGAGGTCCTTCCCAAAATGAGTTCAGGGTCCCGCCTGGTTCTCGCCCATGCCCTCGGTGTGTGGGCTACTCGAGGCCCTTCCTGTCCCCCATAAAAGCCCCCCAAGCCTCGTGCCCCCCTCCACAGTACATCTACCCCGCTCCTGGGACATGTGGCCAGCAGGACTAAACTGTAGCTCTGGGGTTGCTGTGGGTGGGGTGTATGACCTCCCCACATCCCCAGCAGGCCCACAGACCAGCTCACTCCCACAGGTGTGGGCACTGCAAGAAGCTGGCCCCAGAGTACGAGAAAGCAGCCAAAGAGCTCAGCCGCCGCTCGCCCCCTATCCTCTTGGCCAAAGTCGACGCCACTGCAGAGACAGACCTGGCTCAGAGGTTCTCCGTCTCCGGCTACCCCACCCTGAAGATCTTCCGCCGTGGGAAGCCCTTTGACTACAATGGCCCTCGGGAGAAATACGGTAGGGGCTGTGTGGTGACTCTGGTAGGTGTGGTCCACGTGGTAGAAGGTGGATAGTGGCCATGCAGATGTGGGTCCCAGGATGGATAGTGGGGTACACATGGCAGGTGTGGGTCTCGGGATGGATAGTGGGGTACACATGGCAGGTGTGGGTCTCGGGATAGATAGTGGGGTACACATGGCATGTGTGGGCCTGGTGCTGGGTGGTGGATGTAGCAGACAGGCCACAGGGTGGAGAGTGGAGTGGCCATGGCAGATGTGGGCAGACGGTGGCCCTGGGCATGCCAGCCCCTGCTCACTCTCGGTGCCTCTCGCCCAGGCATCGTGGATTACATGGTGGAGCAGGCTGGGCCTCCATCCAAGGCAGTCACGGGGCTGAAGCAGGTACAGGAGCTCCTAAAGGACGGGGATGACGTCATCCTCATAGGGGTCTTCCAGGACCAGAGCGACCCTGCCTACGAGCAGTACCAGGAGGCGGGTGAGTGGGGTGAGGGGCAGGGGGAGCCTGGGGCTGATGCTTGGCCATCGTGTTAAGATGGGGCACTGCCAGCCGTGTGGAGGGCGGAGGGGGTGGGGATAACCTCTTCACTGGCCCTTCAGTCCAAGGTCTCCGACGGGGAGAGGCCCACCTTTGGGGTCCTGGGGTGGGTGCTGTGCTCAGCCCTCATTGCCTTCTGAGAGTACCAGAAATGTACAGCTAGGAGACTTGGCCACAGAGCCAGCCTGGCATGGGGTGGGGGTACATTTGTACGGCCTGCCCTGTCCAAAAAGTCAGCCAGCCCCAGTTCTGGGGCCCCCTCAGACCACAGGGTCTCCTCCTGGGGGTGGGGGCATGTCTGTGTTCTGGGTTCTCTGGACGTCAGGTTGCGCTTCACAGCCACCAATGAGCCTGTCACGCTCTGGTTGACAGCCTGACGACAGCCAGAGTGGGGGAGCCTGAGGACGCTCCGGTCTCTCTCATCTGCCCTTCAGCCAACAGCCTGCGTGAAGACTACCGCTTCCACCACACATTCAGCTCCGAGGTGGCCAGGTTCCTGCAAGCTAGCCTGGGCACGCTGCTGGTGATGCAGCCCGAGAGGTTCCAGTCCCGCTTTGAGCCCAAGAGCTACAGGATGGTCGTGAAGGTCAGTTGGGTGGGTGGGCGGGGATCCAGGGCCTGCCACCGCACGTCCTCAGCCCCCCGCCCAACCCCCATACATGGGGCCCCATTCCGCTCCCCTGGCTGGGCCTAATTCCTAGTCCCTCTGGGTGACCTGGGGCCCCGTGACAGAAATACCACATGCTGGACCTAAGGACTGCCGTGCTGGAGATCCAGACAGGACGCTAGCTCTGGGGGCCTGTCCTGTCAGAAGCCAGAAAGTCCTGGCATCTCCCTGTGTGCTCAGTGGGTGCCCAGCTGAGTACCTGCGGACTGAATGCCCCGCCAGATGTGCTTGACGGGCAGCCCTGTGTCCCCGTGGGCTTCCTTCATGGCCCCTCTTGTTGGCCAGGGCTCCACAGAAGCCTCGGCCATCAGGGACCATGTGGTGCAGCACGCCCTGCCACTCGTTGGCCACCGCAGGGCGGCCACGGAGGCCAAACGCTACACCCGGCGGCCCCTAGTGGTGGTCTACCTCAGCGTGGACTTCAGCTTCGACTACAGGGCTGGTGAGCGGGGACCCGGGGCACAGGATGGGCCCTGCCAGGGGCCTGAGCAGCGGATGCTCAGGAGTTCCGTGTCCCCCCAGCCACACAGTTCTGGCGAAGCAAAGTCCTGGAGGTGGCCAAGGACTTCCCCGAGTATACGTTTGCCCTCGCCGATGAGGAGGACTATGCCGCGGAGGTGAAGGACCTGGGGCTGGGCGAGAGCGGGGAGGACGTCAATGCGGCCGTGCTGGACGAGGCCGGGCGCAGGTTCGCCATGGAGCCCACTGAGTTCGACGCCGAGGCTCTGCACGAATTTGTGATGGCCTTCAAGGAGGGTGAGGCGTGGGCCGGGGCCCCATTCTCTCTAGGGCCCTCCCTGCAGCCTGTGCGAGCAAGCACCCAGCTTGGCTTCCTCAGCTCACCCCACAGGCAGCACGGCCTGGGGGCTGGTCTGGAGGGGTTCCCAGGAGCTGTGGCCCTTGTCCACACTCGCTCAGCAACTCAGACCCTCGTCCACACACTCACCCGGCCTCGGGAGCACAGCCCAGGGCAGCCCCTTTTCTCCGCCCGGTCCCTTGCTGGTCACGGGAGCGGAGGGCGTGTGTCTTGGAAACTTGGGAGCTGGTGAAAACTAACGAGGCTTTAGGCCGCAGCCTGTGGTGAGAAACTCGCCCCTCAACCTGGGGCAGGTCGCGGATGACCCTTTCTCAGATCTTGTCACTGCGTGGGGCCTTGCCTCGTGCTCTCGAGAGTACAGGGTCCCCGTAGTCCCTCCGATCCCTGGTGGCCAGGACCCACCTGTGCCCTTGCCGCCTGCGGTGCTGACCTCTCCCCGCCTTGCTCTCCCGGCAGGAAAACTGAAGCCGGTCATCAAGTCCCAGCCCGTGCCCAGGAACAACAAGGGGCCGGTGAAGGTGGTGGTGGGCAGGACCTTCGAGGACATCGTGCTGGACCCCCACAATGACGTGCTCATTGAGTTCTACGCCCCTTGGTGTGGGCACTGCAAGCAGCTAGAGCCCGTGTACACCGCGCTGGGCAAGAAGTACCGTGGCCACAAGGGACTGGTCATCGCCAAGATGGACGCCACGGCCAACGAGGCCACCAGCGACCGCTACAAGGTGGACGGCTTCCCCACCATCTACTTCGCTCCCAGTGGGGACAAGCAGAACCCCATCAGGTTCGAGGGCGCCAACAGGGACCTGGAGCACCTGAGCAAGTTCATCGAGGAGCACCGTGCATGGCCAGGCAGGGCCAAGGAGGAGCTCTGAGCCGAGGCTGGCCACCGGCGGCACGCACAGACACTGCCTGCGCAGCCAGCGGGGTGTTTTGATGCGTCCACCTCATGCTCTGAAGACACTGACTACATGTGAATGGGGAGGCAGTTTAGGCAAGATTTTTACGGAGGATGTATCTATTTTTATCATTGTTTGGGGGTTGACCTTTTTCTTTTTTTAACCTTCCACTTTCTTCAGCGTATCCTCAAAGCAGATAAGATGAAGCTCATGTATGTGAATGGTTGTTTTTTTATTTAAAATTTCAAAAACCGAGTCTTTGCCAAATCATGTTGACTTTGCCTTTTTGTTTTAACCCTGTCTGATGAGACATGACTGACCGTGTGTAAATATTTCTCATATGAGGACATGTGACTGTGTTTCCCCATCGTAGGAGACGTGACGGTGTGTGTGTGTTTCTTGTATGAGGACACGTGACTGTGGTTCCCCATCTGATGAGACATGACTGACCGTGTGGATATATTGCTCACGAGGACACGTGACAGTATGTTTTCCTGTCTGATGAGACATGACTGTGTTTATTTCTTGTATGAGGACACGTGACAGTGTTTCCCCATCGTAGGAGACTTGACTCTATATGTGTATGTTTCCCCATCTGATGGGACATGACTGTGTTTCTTGTAGGAGGACACGTGACGGTTAGGGCTTCCCTATCGTAGGAGACGTGACTATTTGTGTATTTTCTTATGAGGACACGTGACAGTTTGTGTTTCTCCATCATAGGAGATATGACTGTGTGTGTTTCTCGTATGAGGACACGTGACAGTGTGTTTCCCTGTCTCAGGAGACACGACTAACCATGTGTGCGTTTTCTGAGGAGCTGTGGCTCGGTGTTTGCCCTTGTCTGTAGAGACATGACTGGATGTGTGCTGCCCCCGTCTGAGGAGCTGTGGCTGCCCGTCCTCCCAAGGCCACGTGACTGGGCGGGAGTGTTCCCCGCCCTTCCTGGCAGCCAGAACTTCATAGGTGAGGAGCAGTGGTGCTGGGCACGGCAAGGGCAGCGAGCTGCTGTGCTCGACTGAAAGTCACGGCCCTGGGAAAGGCTGCTGGGTACCAGGGCGCCTGGGTTGAGCTGGCGGCGGTTCCCATAGACCACAAGTAACTCGTCACACACCTGAAATCCTGGGGTGGGAATTTCATCTGTGGCCCCGGTACATGCTTTGGGGTGTTTGCTCTTAGTTGTACGGTAACGGGCTGCTCAGGGGCAGACACCCAGGACCCTGCAGATTCATCAGGGTGGACCCCTGTCACCACTGTTCCTACCCCATCCTCATCAAATGGGAATACAGGGGCCACGATGACATTTGGGACCTCTGCTCTCCTTGACTTGTGGCCACATCATTCCACTCTGCCTCCATCCTCTTCCTTGTCTAAGACCCCACTCAGCTTACAGTGGGACTCACACGACTGCACACTGACCTTGTGAAGTGACAACATCTTTAAAGACTCCATTTCCAAAACATTCCTAGGCCAGGGGCTGTGGTTTTACATAAAGGAGCGTGACCTGACCGGACGCTACTGTAACGGCAAGGGGCCTTTCACGAAACAGCTGTTTGGCCTCTCATGAAAACAGGCCAGAGTTTGCCAGGTTATCCTGTGGGTCTCCAAGGCATGGGTGCCCGTGTGCCCCTTTGAGGAGTCACCGCCTGCAGTACAGGCCTGGTAGAGACAGCTGGGGTCTGCATTGGGGGCCATGCCCCCTCTGGGGAGCCCATACTGGGCGGGCAGGGGACCACGGTGTCCTGGCCCCAGGTTTTGGGGACTCAATGGGCTTCACAGTCTGAGGTGAGACCCAGGTCTGAGAATTCTGGAATGAGGCAGCTTTTGTTCCTTTCTCAGGCGCTCTGGTGGCAGAGTGGATTATGAGTTAGGTTTGCCAATCAGAAGGTTCGAGTCCACCAGCAGCTCCATGGGAGAAAAATGAGGCTTTATGTTCCAGTCACTCTTCACATCCTGGGACTGTCCAGGATGAACATGAGCTGGCACAGGGCTGGACAGCATGGATTTGGCTCACTCTTTTCATGTGCAGCGTTCCCAACAGACCTGTCCGAGGGAGCCCTCCCAGGATGACCCCCAGGACTGGCAGCAGGCTGGTCTTCGGTGAGGATGCTGCTGCCCCTTCTCCTGTAACCACATCCATGAACATAGCTTCCCATGCCAAGTTGGCCCCTGGTGGCACCCCAGAGACTTTCCCTATTGGTCTGTTGGCGTCACCAGTTGCAGGGGTTGTGTGTCTCTCAAAAGCCTAGAACACCTCCTCAGTCTCCCCCAGACACAGGCAGGCAGGCAGAGCCGTGTCCTGTGGAGGTGCCCCTTGCCCGGGTCTGAGAAACTTCAGTTGTCACCATCTACTCGAGTGCTCTGCTGCTAACCTCAAGGTGGGAGGTTCAAATCCACCACAGTATCGCGGAGGAAGGGCCTGGCTACCAGCTTTTGAAAACCCTATGGCACTATTTCCTCTCTTCCCTGGCGATCCCGGGCATGTTTTCCCCAAGTGTGCGTGCTCATCTCCGTCTATACTGCTGCTTGTAGCTCAGCAGTGACCTGGGTTAGGATCCACCCAACACTGACAGGGCCTGTTAATTGACAGGTTGATTCTCAAGTGGGATTGCATCCACGAGCCTTATTCCGAGGGGAAAAAGCTCACTCTGTGATATCCCGCAAACTTCAGTCCATCTTGCCCTTCCGGTCACTGACTAAGGGTGCCAGGCCCACCCTCGGGTGAGCAGAGGGCTGGTACCGGCAAGAGTCCTCCCAGGGCTGAACACACCTCCACCAAAAACTTCCTGTGCAGGAGTGGTGAGTCAGGTGTGGGACAGGGATGGGCAGGGTGCCCTAGCCTCCTGCTGCCTAGCCTCCCCACCCAACCCTCAACTGCCCCCACCACAGGCTAGTTCTGCTCACGCTGTACAGAACAAAGGCACACGGTTCTCCAGTCGCCGAGATTTTCTCGTAGACTACACTTGAACGCACGCACGCAAGCCCCCGGGCAGCCTTTCAGTGAGGCTGCGCCAGGGCTTGGAAACAGACCTTTCTCCATTCTTCTGGCTCAAGGCTTGGCTCTGCTGGCGTGGTCTGAGGGAACCTGCCCACCCGCCATCAGAGCAGGCCACTGGGGCAGGAGTAAGTAAGTGGAGAGAGTCCCTCAGGTCAGGTTAAAAACGCAGAATCTTCCTGGGTCTGCAGGTGAGCTGAAGTGTGAAGGGGCTGGGTGTGGGCAGGTGATAGAGGGTGGTGGAGAGCACCCTGTTGGTCCACTCAGGCAGTTTTGCATGTGGGGCTCTGGGTCTACTGTTGGGGTTCTGACTTTGAAATACCAAAATCGTTTCTGTGACATCCCTCCATTGTTAAACGTTGGATCTATTCAAATTCTTTTTACTGAAACTGGGCCAAAGACAAGCCATCGGAGGGTTGATGCAGTTAGAAACTTCTGGCTTACGTCACACTGGTTTTCTTTCTGACCCAGAGGCCCCCTGACTGGGGGTGATGGTGGAGGGGGTCTTAGGGAACGCAGGGCAGGCAGCAGTCTGGTGTTTGGAAGTGGGGCTGAGGTCTGAGTGGACCGTGTCTCCGTTCCCCCAGTTTGTCTTCTCACAGTACTGGGAGGCTTGTTGCCCCTCTATGGGCCTTCCTACTAGTGTAGAGAAGTGACCTCAGGACACGGCTACTACAGATGCACCTGCCCACTCACCAATTGGTGTGCCCCACACCACCCTGCATGTGGCACTTCTATTTATAAGGCCCCATGAAGAAGAGACTAGAATGAGGACCCCAGCTGACATCCAACGGAAAGCCAGGTGTCCACATGGGGTCACATTCACAGCACAGCGGGGAAGACCGGGTCATGTCTTCCTGGGGACACAATTCAGTTCACCACAGGAGTCCATGCCAGGCTACCTGGGCAGGGTGTGGCATGTCCTGGTCCAGTGGAACTGTGCACATCAACTCCCCTTCTGGTTCTCTGACTTTTGAGATGCCGATCCCACAAAAGCCCTTAGGGGTCACCTCAGACTCAGGTCACCCAGGTGGTTACTGGTCACCTGGACTCATTGGGTCAAGAAGTAGTATAGGGTCACGGGGCTCCCGGACCTGGCTCACCCCCTTTTTCTGAGAGTCAGGCCCCATGGGAATGGCCCACAGGCCCAGAGCTACCCGGGGCTGTCCAACTGGCCCCACACCACAGCACTGGGGGCCAGACTGTCCACAGCAGAGCTCAAGACCCCAGGGTTCCGGGCCTGCTTCCCTGGCACCTGCCCAGGTGCCCAATGTCATGCCCTCCCTGAGACTGCTCCTGTGGCCGCCTCAGTCTCCTCCCTGTGGTGTGGTCTCCACTCAGGCTCCGCCCCACACTCCACTATGCAACCTGTGGGCTCCTCCCCCTGGTGTGGGCTCCTCCCCATGGCCGCAGCACTATGCTCATGACCAGGGCTCCATCTCCCACTGTCCCTTCCTGCTACCCTGCAGCAGGCCTTTCATTTAAGTATACTTTGCACATTAGAGAGAGCTGCAGAGCTTGCCAACCCTTGGAAAGGTTTCTAGAACCTTCCTCAGTGAAAGAAATGGTTCCTGAGCGCATGGAACCCAGCTCACCTGACTGGCACCTGCCCTGAAATGAACATGCATGAGGCACCGTTGTTGTGGAACACGTGAAGCTCCTCATTGCCTTCAGCCACCAGGCTCTGCTTTCTGAGACAGGCCCCGGGAGCGTGGCCCACAGGGGCTTCTGTACAAGGGAAGAGCGACATGAGAGGACCAGGACGGGGGAGGGCCCTGAGAGAGGGAAGCCCAGGCAGACGGAGGACTCGGGATCAGACAAGGCATTGGTGAAGCTCCCTCCTTGGGCAGTGTGGCCTCTTGCTTAGGATGTGAGGGAGGGGTTAAGGTCCTCTACCAGCTGGGTAGGCTGGGTGGGTGCTGTAGTGGCCCAGAGGTGGCCCCTGAGATCTGAGGGGAACCCACATCCTCCAGTGCTGGCCAGAGAACCTGGCACCACCCAGAACTCCAGATCTGGCCAGGGAGGGGGAGCCAGTGGCTGGGGTGGCTGCTCTGCCTTCACAGTTCTGGGCAGAGGGGCCCTGGACAGACGGTGGCGAGGTGAGTGCTGAGGTAGATGTGCTTGGGCTGCCAATCTGGTGCCCACAGGGGGTGGAGCAACCCCTGTCAGGTCATTGAGGCGCCCCTGGAAGAGGTTGGCACTCACTGCAGTGGTGTGGCTTTCCCCCTGGCTGGCAAGCGGCCCCCAGTTGGGGCAGGCCTGCCACCCGGGG